TCTGCCACACTCTGTAGTTGTTCCCATTTTGCACAGTGATTTTGACCTAACAAACTCGTCTGTCTTAATATTTTGACGGTTGGTGTTCAAACTGCTGTAGGAAATGCTGCTACTGACTCAGAAAGGTGATCTTTTCCATCCAAAAATAATAAATTATGCCAGCGTAGGGTAAAACCACTTGGAACAACTGCATTTCCTTTCTGTCCCCTTCTTTTTTTCTAGCTAAATCTAAAATATTACTCTCCTAGAACTGTCTAGTTAAAGCCCATTTTTTTTCTGCCATACTCCGTAATATTTCAAAAAAAAGCTAACAATCAGTACATAATATTACACTAAGTAAGCGAAAAATAACCCAGAACAAAGAGACTGCTAGTGTGCATTATGGCAGAAAGGTGTGACATTTTCAGCTGTCATGCTGGCCAATCTTAAATTCAATCTCATCCAGCTTCAGTGGATGTATTATAGGCATTGCAATTAGAAAGCAGGTTGCAGACATGCCTCTGTTGTAATCCACATATCAAGTTCACAGCTATGTGCAGCCATTATTACCTGCTAAACTATTTGAACATCAACACTTAAATTAATGCTTGAATGAAAAATTGGTACCAAATTTGCCCCCTTTTTTTAACCTGGCTATGTCTCTGATTTTCTGGATACCGGGTCTATTTTTATCACAGATTTTTTAGAACAAAACCATGAATATTACCAGATTTGTTTTAAACAAGGAGGGGTTTTTTTCTATATACATCTATTGCTTAATTCTATTTAATTGCTCTGTATTCAGATAAATAATAAAGTTGTGTCACATTTTCAAGAACATTCATCCCAAGGTGTACTCCCAGATATACAGTTTGATTTCTATAAACACATCAGAGTAGAATTTCAGCTCCATTGCCATTTCAAGGCTGTTTCACCAGTTCTCTCATTTGCAAATGCCAAATAAAGTGCCTCTGCCCATGTTGTTTTCTTTTTTGGAACATTCCCTTCCTTCAGGAGACACATAAAAGCTGGGGAAATAATATTCCATTCCTGTCTCAGATTGCTGCGTAGGTGACCATTCCCTTCCAAAACCTCCTTATTTTCAGCTGCAGATAAACTGATGCTTCTGGATAATTTGCATGTCTATTTATTACATTAATTATGATAATTCTTGAAAAATGCTAACTCTTGAAAGCTGTTGTAAACATAAGGCTTATTACATGTAGACTTTTTTTGGCATTTTGCAAATGTTCATTTCTGATTTATGAATAAGTTTGACCTGGAGGTTATTATCCTCCTCCAAAGTAAGGGGAGAGCTACTTAAGAAACCTGAGAAAAGATGCCTCCTCCCTGTTCCTGATGTAGCAATCACTGTTGCTGTTCCTCATCTGCCAAACAGCACTAAACACATGAAGTAAATAAAGGGATTCAGAGGGTGCTAATTAGTTGCTATTTCATGATGATGGTTCATAGTGGTAACAGATGACAGTTTGGTGGTGAACAAGTACCAACAGCAGGGACATATACATAGATATCAAAGACTGAGGATCATCATGCCTGAAAAAGTGAATACATATTCTCAGAAACTGGCAACTGGCAGGCTGGAATACTGCTGGGTGTCTTTTGACATACAAATCACTGACCATATGATGGATGGTTCTCATAACTATGATGAGATCAGTAAGATGCTGCTAAGCTTCCCTTAGGTCATCATTACTTGACCAAATACGTCTTCATGAAGCTGGGGAATAAATGGCACTTCTTGCACTTTTTTCCTTCCCTTTTTTTTTTTTTCCCTCCCTCCTCTTTCTTTTTAAACTAGGATGTCAAATAACACAAATTAGAATCAGTCAGTGCTGAATCTGATAGGAATGATGCTGGAGCTCAGCAACTCAGTTATATCAGAAACGTATTTCAAAACAATGCACAGATGTTCATGGAATTAGGTTAACATGTCCTGCAACTTCCTCGTATCTGGATCACGCTGATGCACTTCTGATTTGCACTTACCAAAGCTAACAGCAGATATCTCTTCAATATTATATGGGTTCCATCTGAATGGGTAGTGCTCTGGAAGTAAAGAAGTGTCCTACTGTAGCTATCTGTCCTACTGTAAAGTGCTGTTGATACTGCTACACGCTGCTGACATCATGAGTGAAAGGTTCAAGATTGGTTGGAAGACTTCTTCCATGAAAAGGATGATTTTTGCTGAAGAATACACCTGCTTCTCTCAAAGTCCTGAGGACATTCGAATGGAGCAGAGATTAATCGTGTTCCTCTTAAGTGGGAATACAGTTTAGGGGAAAAATCCATGAAATCCTTCCACCTCCAAAACCCTGATGCCATATAATCAGACATACACTTGTGTAACCTTGGGGAGGAGAATAAAGACTAAGTCGTCAGCAAGTCGTGGGTAGGGATACGAAAACAGAGCCCAGGTGCTAGACACTGAGGCAGAGGGCAGAACAAATCTGTTGTCTCTAGAACAGAAACATGCTTGAGAGGTACCATTAACAACTTCTAAAGTAAAAAATGTCCCAATTATACTTCTTCTGTTACCAAAAAGAACCCAGACTATCAGTGGCCTGAAGGACCTGACTTCCAGACAGAAAGGAGAGAACCAGTACAAACAAGACAAATTCTACGCACATGCCTGAAATATAGCAGGGCTCCTATGGAGCTTGCTAATTTGGGAATGGAGGAGCACTTTCCTGGCTGTGGAATAAGCCTAACTTAAGGAAGCAAGAGAGCATGTGACTCGTTTTACATGTCAAAAAACAAAGGCAGGCCGATAGGAAACAACCTACGGATGGTCACACAGCAAAGCACTGTTAAAGAGGGATTTCAGCTCCGAGTTTCCACATGCCTGCCTACCATGAAGCCAGCTTGCTGCTTCCACATAAAGTGCCTTGCCCTGCAGAGGTAGAACAATGATAAACTGGTGCCTTTGCGCAAATGTTGAAGGCACATGTTCTCTGCCACAGACAAACGGCTTTGCCACTGCTGCAGGAAGCGTTTCACAAGCGGTGCTAACGCTTCACGTCCCTAAGTATCATTAATGCTTCTTATTGATATTATGAAGTTCTGCAACAAAAATAATGGGATTTGTCAGGGGCTGTTATAAACCGCCCCTGCTGGATAAATACATAATACATGATGGCAAAGGTCTGATGGGCCCTTAATCAATTGCCTTTCTGAGTCAAATAAATGTCACACGAGACGTAAGCCATGTTACGTTCTGTGGGTGCCTCTGCTCCCCTCATCTCACAGGTCTGACACCGCCACAGGGAGCTATGGACGCACACGGACTCCTACTTATTTGTAGCAAATATATCAGAGCAAAACTGGAACAGCATGTTGTAAATTACAGATTCGGGACACCTTATAATGAAAGGCAAAGGGGAAAAAAAGAAATATGGGGACACCATAGGCATGATAGGTCAGCTCAAATACATCTCCTTGGGAGCTGGCATTGTCATACCACCTTTTGCAGCCACTGCAGCGTATCTCATCTTTCTGCCCACAGGGCAGGGTAGAAGGGGCTGTGTCATTACTTTCTGCACTGCAAAAGTAGTGGGTCAACTTTAAATGTTAAAGTCACATATTTTAGGTCTAGAATCAGGAAAAGAAAGCTCTTTCATTGTTTCAGTATGCACCTGAAAAAAATATGAACGTCCATTTGCACTTTAGCATCTCTTTGAAGAAATTCCAACAATCAAAACACTGCTTGAAATTAAATTTACAGATTTTCAGGTTGACTTCCAAATATGAAAGAGCTATTTTTCTTACTGTGCTATGCTTTTTTTTTTTTTTTTTTTTAAATTCCGGGCAGCACTTTTACAGTCATCTACTTTCTTCTCTGAACAGGTAGGAGACATGAATTTAAATTGCAAAATGGAGATCTAAAGTAGCACAAAGTCTAGGCATATTTGGACGTGGAGTTCTAAACCAATTTAAAAGCCCTCATTATTTTTGGCATTCACTAAATAGCTTCACCTTGGACATCCCAAAACAGTGGTTTAAAATGCTGGACATTTGAAAAACTTTGGTCTGTCTTTATTTAACTATGGTAAATATTATGAAGTGGTAGTGCTATATTTCCCTTTATATTGCAACAAGAAGAGTCATTGTTTTAAAAGCACTAGATTTCACTGCCAATATGTATGAAGGAATCCCAAAAAAATGTGCGTTTTTGTTCCAAATGCGCAAAATCATCATGTGTCAGAACCTGACAAAATTAAAACTCAAATGATAACAAACAAACACTCCCAAAGGTTCCTTATTCCCCCAAAAAGGAAAAAACAAAACTTAAACTATGAGATAATTCATTCTTCCTGTTCTGGGTCTTAAAAACACAATTATCTGAATAAATATAGTATTTTCTTCAGTTAAAAAGGTCACCAAATCAACAACCTACATAGAAGTAGACAAACTCAAGCAAGTGAGACCAGGTGAAAAGAGAACCCTGCATAACATCTTTCAAAGAAACCCCTAACAGATTTTTAATCACGATACTGTTCGATGTCAAAGAAAATACAGCGTATTTAATCTACCCAGGTAAGAAGAGCAGGTCAGAGAGCACTCAGGACTGGGTAAGGAAGAGTCCCATGCCACAAGGTCAAATTACCTCAAGGACAGGTTGCAATGCTAGTTGACTGTTTTTTGTACTTGTTTTGCACTTGCACAGCATGGAATACTGCTCTATTCTGACTCACAGCACAACAGTATAATGTCCATCAGAACATGTATATTCCCACGTATAAACAGAAATCTTCCATATTGTCATCCAGAAATGCACATATAAATTCAAGCTCAGTCAACCACACAATGTCACTGAACTAAAATCTGAGTCCCATAAAGTGACACTGCTTCAAAATCTTGGACTGCATTAGAAGAAAACTCAATATTGAGTCCTGTGGTCATGGGGAGCAACAGGAAAGTTTACAAGGACCCTGGGCTAATTTTGATAGAACTTGAAGAAAATATACAACAAGTATAAAATGTTTGGTATAAATACTTACGCAAGAGACAGAAAAGGTTCCTTCAGAGAAAGGCCACAAACTGATTGTGAGTGATCTGAAAAGGAAAGGGAGAAAGAAAAAAGGAAATCAAGTTACAATAAAGACACTAAATTATACCAATACAACAATATAAAACTGGCATTGAGGAGACTTACAGATGGTGGCAATTCCCATAGAAGAGGAAAAAAAGAGTAAAACCAGTGTTTTAAATTCAAAAACTACATAGATCTTGAACGATTTGAAACTACCTGACCCCAGAACTAGGTAGCTCAGAAAACTGGTAGTGGCTCAGGAGCCTTTCGGTCCTGGGATAATTCCAAGTCAGCAAAGACTAAATATTCTCTGGTGGCCTTTCAACAGTCTCTGTGAAATAGGCTTGTGGCTCCTACGGACAAATGCTCTTATCGCAAAAACACTGCCAGACTTGAATGGCATCCTTCTTACCAGTCATGCCAGATATACAGGATTCTGAAACAGAACTCGCCTTCTTGATCCTGACCCTCACAGAAGAGGGGTTAGGCTTATTATTAGGGCTGAGAATGCTTACATCACAGCTGATAGCTGCACAGAAAAATTGTGTTGTCTTAGTTCCTTCTGTCAACATAGGACTTTTTGGACTTGATTGATTTGTTAACCTAAGGAAAAAATGACTGCATGAAAGTGGAATGGCTAAAGGATTGCAAACTTCTGGTAGACCACAGGCCTGCTATGGAGTATCTAAGCTTTATTGTCAACCTATTTCCATATTTGTTTCCAAAACATATTAACCTGGGATGAAGCAACAAACAATATTAATCAAAGCCTGATGCTCTGAATTGTAACAAGAAGATATACTCCTGTTGGACACACAATAAACAAAGGCAAATGCTCCCCAAATGTTCAAAGCCACAAATCAGTCCTGTACCGGCTTCCCTTCACCAAGCTGAGACAAAATTTTGGTCGAAAGACCAGACAGAGCTCTCCATAAGGTTGCTATCAGGGGATGAGGAGCACAGTGGACAAAGACCATGAGACCCATGTCTGTGCTACAGTACTTAAGACATGGCCTCAACTACTGTTTCCTGTCTAGTTACAGGGAGATAGGGAAATACAAACCTGACTTGAGACAATGAAGGAAAAGGGAGCTCTCACAGCAGAGAGAGGAAAGGCAGACAGAAAATTTGTTCAGAGTTACGGCCACTATTTGTGAGGCTTATGGTCCTGGTAGAGGAGAGTGTGAGAGAAAGCATTTTTGCATATCTAGTGGTTGGTCATCTGCAAGCGAGGTGGAGGAAACAGAGCAAAGAGCAGGGAGAATCATAAAAGCTCCTGAGCAGGAAACAAGATGCTTACAGCATCCTTCAGATAGGCCACCCAGAGAGGCCCTGTTTAACTGCAAATTTCTCTTTAAAGAAGCTGACTGATCCACATGTATGACTGCTCTCACATGCATGAAACAGATAACAGGATGGATTCTGCCCAGACTGAAAAGCTGAAATGACATAAAATGAAAGGAAGGGCAAGATCAGGCTGGTGGAGAGAAGGTCACTATCTTACTTTGAAGAATTCATTATTCTAATAAACTTCAAGGGGGAGGTTCTCCTGGTGGAAAAAAATCTCCATTGCTAAGCACATATCTCTTATTCTCCTTTACATTGCCCCTGAAGATTTAACCATTGAAGCCCATAGGCTCATCTGTAATAAATGACATGTGAAGGACTGTTAATGGCTGGTAGTTGGGTAGTATTTCTTTCAGGGTTCTGGGCAGATGGGACTGTGAGCTGCAAACCAAGGAAGAACCTGAGACAAGAGATCTGAGCCAAAGAATGTGCCTTGGAGGCCCAGAGTTAAAAAAGAAAAAAAAAAAAAGAAAGAAGAAAAAAATTGAAAAAATTAAAAAAAAAAAAAAAAAGAAAAAAAAGGAAGGAAAAAAAAGTAAAAGGAAAAAAAAAGTGGGAGGTATCCAGTATGGGAAAAAAACCCCAGAGAATGGAAAATTTTAGGCTGAGTGGTTAGAGTTTGGCTCTGTTATTAGCAACATAAAACAAGGTCTCTTAAGGGAAAATGTCAAGCAACTTTGACAACATGGATGCCAAAGAATTCTACAAATTACAGCCTGAGATTCTGGAGGTGCTGAGTAATGACTTAACCAACAGCACCACCAAATTTGCTGAAAGAAGTGAACGAGATTGTTGTGCCTAATTAAAACTGTAGGGTAATTTTAGACAGGCACAATATGCTAGAAGCTGCAAACCAGAATCTGGCAAATCACCAGAACTGAAACACCGTAATTTTTTAAATGATTGCAATTGGTCTGGACACTTGATTACCAGTTTTGTTCAAAATAAAATATATGAAAACAAAACTTTCCCTGTAAAATACTGGAAAAACAAGACGTGTCTGAGGAAGCTATGATTCATTCCAGGTTAGATAACTGCAGAACACGTATGCGGGAGAGAAGTGGGCCAAATCCCGTTCTCACTGCCCTGTGCAATCATGCTAACTTAATTGAAACCATGAGCAGAACCTGAACCATTAAAATGCTGGGGTGAAACATTTTATGATATGGCACTGTTGTTCACTAGAGACATTTAACCTAATTACATTAGATTAACACAGTAGATTTCTTCAAGATATATTATTATATAACAACATAAGAAAATGCAGTCTAAGAAAGCTGACCATTTTCTCCAGGTTGCTCTGTTACAAGCAGAATAGTAACCTGTCTCTATTTATGTTGTTTGTTTTCAACCCAGTATAGCTTTGTTGGGTGGAATGGACAAATGGAATCCACTGATCTTTTCTATATTGAATTCCAAGTGTTCATGAATCATTATTACTTGGAAGCTGTTTTGGCCATTGGACAGAATAACCAAGGGCTAAACTTAAGCCCGTCCTTGCTTTATTGTGGCTAGATTCTGCTCACTTTCTCTTTCTTTGTTGCATGAATAAATTTTATTTAAATCACAAAGACTAAAAGATAAGCAAGGTCTGAATGTTAAGGCTATTTAGGAATCTAGTCCCCCCCGGAGTTTAATGAGAATAAGGTTCCCAAACACTGAAGAATCTCTGTTTATGGGGAGTTGAGATGGTGAAAGCCAGTGGTATGACTTACATTACATGAGCAGATAGCAGATTTATGAGGCTAACTACAATTTTCAAAAGTGACTGAGGCATTCAAGTCAAAGTCCACCCAAAATCATTGAAATTTGGGCTGTAAACCATGCAGGAACTTGAGAATATTTTACCTTTGTTAGCTTAAGCATTACTTTCTTTCAACAAAATTAATTTCTTAGGTGCCAAAGACATTTTTGCAATTGGCATTCAGTTGCTTCTTAGAATTTATTCACTAAATGGCTTGAGTTAACCTGCTTCAAGTGTAATTCTGCTCCACTTTTGCAAAGTGATGTAGGATCTCTCTCATATACTGCACTACCAAGGTGAGCATTCCTTCAGCCCCAGCTTGGGAAGAAGTAGGCTTGAAGGACTAACAACAGATCCAGATAATCCTAAAACAACTGGTCTGCCTGGAAACATTTTCACCCTTTACTGACACGAACCAGTGAAGGGCACAGCTTTATCATATGTAATCTACTCAGTGAATTGGATCTAAGACGCAGTCTTGTTTTCCCTCCCCTTCTGAATGCTCTACACCTGCTATCTAAACTAAAATTTAATCCCAATGGAAGATAAAGAAAATAATTTACCAGAGAATTCCTCAGTTCAGAGGGGGTCAAATGGAGCCAGTGCCATACTGGGGGAATGCAGTGAAAGAGCAGACTCAGCTGAAGTTCATTGGAGCCCTTTAAATGCTCTGAGGGGGCAAAGAGGCTGCACTGCATCTCTGACACAGCAGAGACAGATTACAGCAAAATTAAATTGAGGATTTTAGTGGATATAATTGCTGTTTTTATATATTAATGAATAACAATAATACGTGATTCTAAACTGAATACCAGGTTTGACATTTAATCTGAGCGCTCATACTATCCATAAATGTTCATAAACGTCACAAGACCCCTACCCTTTGATTGAATTACAATCTAGTATGCAATTTAGGAAACACGGATTAATCTACATAGATTTATATTTCTGCAGGTTACACAGTTATTTGTTGATTTATACCCTTTTCCCCTAAGTGTCCTTTTCACTGAGAACCCAGGAATATACATGCAAATCCTTAATAGGAGAGCAGCTCAAAATCCAGTGACCAGCAGCAGATGGAAACTTGTTTCAGAGAAATCTATACTAATTATCATTTGCCTTTTGAAGTCACCTCTGCTAATGGCCAGCAGAATCTTAGTCCCTGTGATATCTCCTATTACCTTCACATTACTTCTTACTAAAGCCAGCAATCACCTAACATGTTTCTTGGCAATGCTGTGCAATTAAAGAACCTTTCAATCAGCTTGCTGAGGAATCCAGAGATGGAAAGGGCTTTAATATTAGGAGTTAATTACAAGAATGCAGAGGAAGGCAGTCAAATGTTATGTTAGCATACCAGAAACATGACAACGCCTTAGCCACAGATGTCACACAGGAGGTAAGGGGCCACATCAGGAAAATTGACATGGCAACAGAGAGAGGAAAACGATCCTCAAGTTCTCCCTTTCTTTTTTTTTTTTTTTTCTTTTCTTGTGGTCATTCTACTTCATGTGGCCACCTCCTCGAGCAGTCAAAATACCTGGAATTTCAGTCACCTATATTAACAGGCTTCACTGCACAGTGGTGTCTGCTTAGGGACTGATAATGACACCTACTCAATCAGTGTGTCACAGCACAAAAGTGGTCCGAAAGGCCCATCAGAGAAAAGCAGTTCTCCAGATCTTGACCTTTGCAGAGGCCTAATTCTGCTGCCTTCGAAATCAAGCAAGTCTTTGCAGAGGATTAACTGGGCAGATTCCTGTTCTTCCTCTGCATCTTTAGCTCTGTATGCCTCCTCGAGGAGGAAGCTCCACAGCCTGGGCCCCTGTCCTCGTGGGCTCGTTTAGTCACACAAGACTGAAGAGAAGGGCTGGCTACTCTACCTAATATGAAGGGAAATTACCGTTGAGCTGTTGCTGGGAAAGGGATGAA